ATGTGGGTCAGGTGGGTGGTGTAGATCAGGAAATCTCCAGTCATCTGAAAGACACCAGGTTAAGGAATGGGGAACCCATTTGAAATGAAGGTTCTACGCAACATTCATAAGGACATCATCCCATTTCCACAATTCCTTCGGGAGCTTGACAGGCTCAATGCCAAGTTCCTGTTTGCTCACGGAGCCTGAGAGATCAGTTTTAGGGGCAATAGGTCACAGCTCAGGGGTTAGTCCTTTTATACCAAGGGAACAAGGTAATGCATCATTCTACAGGTCAGCAATGGTCAGACAGGGAATTCATTTAGAGTGGAAATGTGCATTTGTAGAAACAAAGGGATGTGTTTTTCAGGAAAAATATCACTAAGGGAACAGGAACATGGTCCTGATTCTCTCAGAATGAGACACCACAGGCACATTTCGGTTTCCTCAGTCATCAGCAAACCTCCAACATTTGCGCATATTGTGAGTACAAGACCAAACTAATCCACAAAGTGACTCCATAAGATCAGTTTCAGTAAACAGAACAAGAGGTAATCTAATAATAGAGAAACAGAACACTTATCCCAGGAGCCCAGTTATTACAATGACAAGGAAAGTGGGAAGTTTGGAGCCCCTCAAGACCAAGGCACCTCAATATTAACCTCATTTTGTTTAGAAGTGCCATCCCCATGGGATGGGGATGGGGGATGGCAAAGGAGCTGACTGTGGAGAAACAAGCCTCAAACATTGAAAGCTAATCAAGTTCAGGCAAACCAGAAATAATCTCCAGACCATGGGGACAACAGGAGAGGTTTGGGACCAGCAAGACCACTTAAGCCACAGTCTAATCCAGAAGAGACAGATTCTAAGTTTGATTGCAGGAAAAAGTACACCCCAATATCAACAGCATTGGAGCCAGGGTTACAGGAAGGAACAGGGTACAGCCCAAACTTCCACCAACTATGGAGGACTCCCATTACCTGCAATCTGCTACCACACTCATGCAGGCCATAGTCAAAGACGACAGTGTAGTTCTCAGGGTCAATCCTGGTTGGCCGACAACCTGCTGTCCCCAGGGTCAGGTCAGCAGCTTTAATCAGGTGCCTGGTTCCAAATAAATCCAACTGTGCCCTGACCAGCAGGTTGTGCTCTCCACACTGTACCATCACAGTCTG